ATCAGTACATTTCTGTATTATTTTCTGAATAATTTTAATGAACCTTGTGACTTTCTGAAACCACCTGATGTATTGACGTGTAGAACCACTCTGCTACAAAATATACACCACCTGAAAGAACTACAAAAATGACTCAAATAAAGATACTAAAAAAAAGTACTTAAGTAAAGTAATCAAGTAAATTTGTTTATTTTCTACCGATGGGGTAAAATATTACATCAATTGGAAAATCCTCTTCTTTACTTGCTCAAATTAAGGGCAGATACACTAATTTAAGAAGTTTTATTTATTTTCAGAACAGTTTTTTCAGTGTATTTCTCACAGTTGGAGTAAAACACTGCTACTGAGAGTTTGACATTCTTCTTTGCAAAAACTTTATTTTATAATCCTTATGACACTGAAGGTTTTAAAGCAAAACTGGCGTAGCTCTTTCGACGTGTGCTTTGAAACATTTAGAAAAAACAGAATCTAATTTCAATGTGTTTAAGGTTTTTTTTTTTTTGTAAATGATGGTTAGTGGGCTTCATTCAGGAAGTGTCAGGAATTGAGATGAAGTCATATTTCCATTTCCTGTAAGTTATTCAGGCTGTGAAGCAGCAAAGCAGACTTCCAGCCTATATGACTGTTCTTTTTCTGATATTATGTGTCAGGTACAATCTGTTACACTGCAAAAACTATCTACACTAATAAGTAGACATTTCTTTAAATATGTGTATTCAACCTTCATTTTAGTAGGTGAATAAAACGATCTGCTAAAGAAATGAGTATTTTTACACTTAAAATAAGAAAATTAGATATTGTAGACTTGAAATTAGACAATACAGTTGCTTTTTTTTTATTTCTAATGTAAATTGTTTTATTTAATTGGCAAACAGTCTCATTTACCTGCTCAATTCAAGAAATATATAATATATAATATATAATATGCACTTGAAATAAGACAATACAATTGTGTTTTCTTATTTTAAGTGTAAATTGTCTTTTTCCACTTGCAAGATGTCCCTTTTACCTCCTCAATCCAAGAACAAATGCACTTATTTTAAGAAAAAAGGGACTTATCTAGATTTTGATTTTATCCAGTGCAATGTAATTACTCTCATCCCTAATGGAACTGAAAAGCTATTTTCTATTTGTCACTCCTTTGTGCTTCCTTTTGGATATTTAATCCAAAAGGAAATAACCAAGAACAAATTTAGTTTGAAAGTAATGCTTTTAATTATGCAAATGAAACGTGGCTCTTTGATTTTAGGAACCTTTTTTTGTCTCAATGCACTGAGAAAATGATCTAGAAACAAGTAAAAATTTCTTAAATTAAGCGTATTTACCCTTAACTTCAGTATGTAAATAAGATGATCTGCCAATGGAATGAGTATTTTTTTATTTTAAACTAAGAAAATTAGATAATATGCACCTAAAATAAGACAATGCAATTGTTTATTCTTATTTTAAATGTAAATTGTATTTTTTTCCATGGGCAAAGTGTCTCACTTCCCTCCTGAATTAAAGAAAAATGCACTTATTTTTAAGAAGAAAATAATTAATTAGATTTCAATTCTTGCAGTGTGATTCAAAGGTCATTTCTATTATTGTTTGTTAATGAGGCTTAATAGTAGCACATTCCTCAGAAAACAGTCAGATCCTGCAAAGCAAAAGCAAAAGAAAAGCCAAAGTTCAAAGTAAAACAAACAAGACCTTTTGAGGAACTGGAGAGCTATAGATTAATCCAGAACAAAGCAATGACAGATGGAACAAAAGTTGCATAAAGGACTGAATTTCAGACTTCAAATCTGAAGTTTAAAGCCATTCTACATTGATTGGTTGTATTTGGTATCATTTATATTTTAAACTGTAGAAGAATAATACAAAAAAGAGCTTCAGATATGAAAGGATGTTACTACTCACACACAGCAGCAGCAGGGTGGGTTAGTCTGCATACAGCTCCAGTGTATTTGTAGGCTGAAGCGCGATCCTGCAGACAGCCATGGATCGTTCCATACAGACACAGGATCAGCAAACGGAGAAAAATATCAGCCGGCATCCTGCTCTTAGTTTATGGTAGATACCGTTCTGTAGCCTACCAACACACAGATTGCATGGTTCAGTGTCCTGAAGCTCTCAGTGTACCTTTCTTTTTCATCCAATCAGAAGCAGAGGGGTTGTGTGGGTTACTGTAGGGGTCAAAAAAACAGGTCAAAGTGCAACTTCTGTGATGTAAACTGCAGAACGTAATACATTTGAGCTTTTAGACACCAAAAAATAAACAAAAACTTAGGTTTCTAAAATAGGATAAAGGTAAACAAACAGCCAAAAGCCATTAATGTTACTGTACATGACCACATAAATTAGCTTTAATTTGTGAAGAAAAGAGAGAAAGATTAACATGTGTTTAAATCTTCCAGTTTTATCTGTTGTCAGGGTGGCCAACGTCGCTCCAGCAGCTCTGACTGAACAAAGAGGGTTTAATATGTGCAAATTCTCAGTGTAACTAGATACAGGAGCTGAGTCCTGGTATTCATACCCTTCAGGTATTTGTCCTCCAAATCTCCCAAATGGCTTAAATGTTACAGAAAGAGGGGGTAAAAAAAAGGGGAGGTCACAGATCTGATGAAGCGCTGCAAAAATGTAAATGAAAGCAAACAAACTTTCTTGAAATGTGAATATTTTTCCTTGTTTTAAGCTGTTAAGTCATTTTTTTTTTTAAATCAAGGTGATTTACATTTAAATTGAGAAAAAAAACTCAAACAAAATGTCCCTGTTTTAAGAAAGACAAAAATATTAAATCCAGTTATCAGATTATTTCATTTAGCTGCTCATATTAAAGACAAATACACTGATTTAAGAAATATTTTCTAGTTTTTAGATCACTTTTCACATTGAGGTCTCTGTCTGATAATTCCTGTGTTCACTGCAAATATTAAAACCTTTTTTCTTAAAATAAGTGTATTTTTCCTTGCGGTGAGCAGGTAAGATAATTTGCCAATGGGATAAGACGATTTATTATTACTAACTTCTTTCTCTTATTTTAAGTGCATAATACCTAATTATCTTATTCTAACATCACAATACTCTTTATATTGGCAGATCATCTGCTCAAAGTGCAAATGAACATATTTCAGGATCTTTTATTTATTGTTAGATCAGATTTTTCTGTGTTTTATTTGTGAATATACCTTGAAAAAGCTCAGTATTTAGTGCTATGCATATGTTTTTGGGTGCAAAGTTGGTATATGGCGAGCAAAAAGAAAGACTAGATGATTATGTGACATTTAGGACTGGAAATTGACAACACTGGAAAATAATGGGGTGGAGGATAATAGCAATAACTGACGTTTATTGATCTCACATTGGAGAAATGTATGTTATTCTTTGTTATTCCAAGTAGGCTACATAATATCTAGATATTTTGTTTTAAAGGAAAAAAAATATTCTTTGGCAGATCATCTTATTTACTTACTAAAGCTGAGGCCAAACAGTGTCTATTTTTAGAATAACTTCTGCAGGGTATATCTCATTGTTGACTGTATGGGGGGCTTGGCATTTCTCTTTAAAAAACTTTTTTTTTTACTTTCCGTCAGGCTTAAAAATGGCCTAGCTGTTGTAGCTAATACTGTAGCACTTCTCAGATTGCCTGATCCAAAAAGCCTCAAACTGCAGCTCCTAGCCCAGGCGTACCTAAAGTTGGTCCTCAGGGGCCGCTGTCCGGCAGGTTTTAGAGGTTCCTCTGCTTTAGCACAGCTGATTCTGATGATTGAAGTTCAAATAAAAGCCTGTTTATCAGCTCAGTAAGAACTCTATCCGGGGGGAGAAACTACAGATTAGGGAGCAATAATGCTAATAAATAAGACTACAGCCTTCATGAAAAGAACCACAAAAAAAAAGTAGGAGCCATTTGCCCTGTCCTGTGCTTCTCCCCACCAGGGGGCAATATTTTGAGTTCTGATTGTCTGATGGGGTTATTTAAGGTCAACCATGATTCTGTTCAGGTGTTGTTAACGGGAGGAGGCAACAGTTTTCAGTGTTTGGTTCAGATTAATGTCGAATTTATGTTTATGTAAAGTTAAGTACTAAAACGATGGACATTGTTCTGATAATAAATGACTTTATTATAAGACAAAGTAAAGATTGTCGTGATAATCTTAATTGAGTGCACATAAAACCAATGCCTTTCAGGAATAGCAACCAGTAGCTTTAGAGGATTTTAGCCGCTACACCAACAGATGTAGTAAACGACTGAAGCTCGCTGTTACATTATGTGTACGCTTTGCATCAGAGTGGATGTCATGAAATAAGTATTTTTGTTAGACTCTGTGAGGTGGGCTGTGCCTGTACATCCAGGTTGTCTTTGTTTAAGCTCTAGAGGCCTTTATTTTGAAAATAGGCAACCAGGAAGTGGCATTACAGAGAAGGCCATACAACATGTGACGGCTGCATTGGAGAGTACTTAACCCTGGATGCATCGGCGCTTCCTGGTCTTATCTCCTTCTTTGCAGCACAATTCAGAACGCACCGTTAACGCACTTCCACCATGGCTAAAGTGTCCTTACAGATCTGTAGGTATTTGAATTGAGCCCCTGTACAAGGGTGCCAGTGTTTACCCCACTGCCTCAACTTCTGATTCCTCAAAGTTTAGCATAAATTGATTTTACAAAACCTGTTAAAATGAACTGATGCACAATCCCACGAAAAACAGAATACCATGAATATTGAACTGTGACAGCACCGTCTGTAGAGGTTTGGGTTAACATCCTAAGCACCACTTCCCCATGACTGTTTACTGTTAGATGCAATTGAAAAGCAAAGAACCTTTGTTTCAATAAAGGATGAAGCACCTAAATAGAAAAAAATAAATCACAAAAATACTTGATGTACAAACATTTATTGCATTTGTTATAACAAAATCCCATAAACACAGTTATTGTACAAGCAAGGGCAACTATTGCCACTAGAAAAGGGTCCTTTTCCACTTTACACAGTGACAAATGTCACTATCTTTTGTTTTTTTCCCCTAAGGGAACTTAAACATACAGCTTCAGAAAATATACAGGATTACAGATCAATATTCATGCAAAAGGATGAAATGATAAAAGTTCCTGTCATACATGTAGCTCATTACTTCCATGAAGATAAAAACGAAGAGGTGGAGAAATTCATGAAGTCACAAAATCACCTTGGTTTAAGTTTCTCCACATAGTGACGTATTTTCACGGCTTTACTTTGAATTTGATCTGTAATTTTTATCTCTGTTCCTCTGTGCAAAAAAAAAAAACTAGAAAAAGCTCTGAGCCCTTAAAGTTATAACCTCATAACCTCTCTCTATTCAGAAGCTTGCATATGACAGACATAAGATGTAAAGTGCGCTGTGTACATAATATATTTACAGCTTTTTTTTTTTTTAATGATACATTTTTAATTTATGGCTATGTGGAATTTTTCAATAAAAAGAAGAATTCACCTAAAATTCTAAAAGCTGGAATGAAAAGGGACAAAAAGAGGATAAAAAAAGTTTCCTTGTTTTTATCCAAGACTTGAGTTCCTTGTTTCTTTACAGTCGATTTAAATACAAAATGTTCCTCCTCGAGTCTGACATTTTGTTTTATTAAGTTCATTAAGTCTTTTTTATTTTTTACTAGATTTTTATCCCTAAAATAATGTATATGAGAACCTTAAGTTAAAATGGTAACACAAGTTTTTCTTATTTCAGTCCTTTAGGCTGCGTCTAAAAATTCCTCCCACCTGCTACTGAGAGAAATCTGAACACAGATTCATAGAACAAAATCTATGGTTAACAAACTAATGTGTGAAGATCACATTCGTTCATCTACTGGAATATGAATCCTTTCAGAATAAAAGTCCTAAAACTGGAAGAGGAAACTGAATATAACAAATCAGCGCAGAAGGAAGATTCATTCTCTAGCTTTCAGGTCCCACCGTCTGTCTGTTACAGAGCTTTTAATGGAGCATAAAACATGAAGGTGGATCAGAAACCTGAAACTAGCAGCGAGAAGATGCCAGTTTATGGTTTCTTTGGTAGCGTCTACATCTGGCTGCTGTTCGCTGCGCCACTTCCTAAAAGATTCACTTCCACACAGGAGCTGGTAGGATCCCCGCGCGCTATTAGGTGACCGTGTTAAGGTAACCGCCGCTGTCCCAGGGACTCAGTTGGCTAGGCCCTGAGGAACCTCAGGTATGAGGGAGGAGAAGAACGTTTTGAAGAACACCCAGGCGGTCCACATGATGGACACCCTGTGAGGAGGAACCAACACTGCTGCCATTGGCTCCTCAGACTCCTCAGCTGTGTTTTCCATCTGTCCTTCAGCCGGCTCGTCAGCCTGAAGAGTCACAGAGAAAAGTTTCTTAGTAAGGATAAACATTTGAAGACAGTAAAGCCACAGAGCTGGTCTGAACCAACATCATTTAATTGCCAAATGTTAAAGCCAACTGAATTTAGCAGGCATAAACAGGAAACAACTAAAATCCTTACAGGATTGGGCTCCGGGTCCCTGATGTCATTGTGCTGGTTGTGTTGGACCTCAGGGGGCTGCAGGTCGGGTGCTTGGACTGGTGCTGGCCGTCTGAAGGGAAACCAGCCCATAGTGTGCCTGCAGTTTCAGAGACAACAAATTGCTTTCTATCAATATTAACACTTTTCAGATTAATTATTTATCATTAAACAATAACTTAGAACACTTAAAGCAACAAAAACGAAATCTGATCCAGTAATATTACTTAAACAGAAAATAAAAATCAACAGCAGGTATGAGAAGAGCTGACCTATTTATCATAACCAGCATAAACAGAATATTTTAAACAGAAGCGTAGCGTTTAGCAGCTCGCTAGTTCAGAGGTCAATATATTCCAATATTAGTTTTAATCAGACGGATGTTCTGATATCAATATCCTATCAATACATCCCTGATTATAAAAACTCTAAAGAGAAATTGTCTCGGTCAATAAACCCGTTCGGTGATGCGAACCCTCCTGAAAAATGAACAAATGTGGGTTTTTATGTCTGCAAGTTATCAAATATCTTTAATTAAAACTAAAGACACTAAAAACAATTCTAATTTTAAGGTGTTTAAATTTTATTGGCATATTACAATCATGTGATGAGGAATTTTGCATCCATGAAGCTATTTTTACCTAAATTTAGTCATGACTGCTTGATTATCAAATCTTTAGTGACATGCACAAATATTAAACTGGTAAAAAAAAAAAAAGGTCAAACTCTGTTTTCAAAGACAGGAAATTAAAACTACATTAAATGAATGTTTCAGAACTAATCATATTTCTAAATAAATCATTATGAACAAAGGTTCACTTCTTGCCAGCTACTTCTGTACAGATGCTGCAGTGCTCCCCCTTCTGGTCAGTTACCAAGAATGTCTCTAAATAAAACAAAGAGACGGGGAACAGCGTAGGAAACAATTAGGTGTCTTTTGTAGGTACCTCACTCTTTTCCACCAAAAACAAAGATTCAGTCTGAACATTTTTTCCCCTCAAGTCCAAAGTGTTTGGGATGATGTAGACGTTTATTATAGCCCAACAGGCTTTAGCTAACATCTTAGTAGTCAGAATCCAACCGTATGTGAACTAGGGTTGCAAAAAAACATTATTTTGCTAATCGATTAATTTGTCGATTAATAATCAGATAGCAAGTTTTCTTAAAGAAGATTTTTTTTTTTTACAGAATTAGACCAGATGAAACAACATTTTTTTCCACCTGAGGAGTTCTGGATAGTGTTGCTCCATTTTTGGCCCCGATACCGATACCTGGCTGTGCAGTAGGGGGCGACACCGATACCATACTGATAGAAATTGATGTGTGTGTGTGTGTGTATATATGAAGAACTGTATACTACTTGGCTGTAAAAAAAAAAAAAAAGTACCATAATTTTTGGACTATAAGCCGCGACTTTTTCCCCATTTTTCGACCTTGCGGCTTATATAACAATGGCTACTAACGGCCACTAGGGTAATACCTCAATCTATGGATTTTACCATCCACCATGTTGACGTCACATTTGCGTCAACACACAAGTACGGTAGCCGCGCACGGGGGAATGCGGAGGTCCTCCGGAAGCAGACTTCTTCCGCGAGTGGTACAAGACAGAACGACAGCGAGAAAGACGGACATTAAACATAAAAAACCTGCAGCTTATAGTCCGGTACGGCTTGTATATGTAAAAATCATGCAATTTAGCTTCTGCGGCTTATATTCAGGTGTGGCTAATAGTCCGAAAATTACAGTATATATACTTGAATAAACTTTTGGCTCTGAAAATGGTATTGGTGCCCTATTTGTCTGCACTCGCCGATACCAATACCACCATTTTAGTGCTGGATCGGGGCCAAGCGCGATACTGGTATCAGTGCAACACTACTTTTTTTTTTTTTTTTTTTATTGCAAAATGTTTATATATTTTTTACAATTTTTGTATAATTACTGTTCTAAGTGGGTCCCTCTTTTAGCTAAAGGCATCTTTACAGTCTCTGTACTCCAGTTAATAATTATTAGATTGCTAACTTAGTTGATTATTTCAATAATTGATTAATCCAATTAATTGTTTTAGCCCTAAGGTGAACTTTAACCAGACCGTTTGTTTACTGCTTCTTTTCAAACATGAGCATTATTGAAAAATAATATCAAGCTGGTTCCTTCGTTTGTCATTAAATGAAGATTTATGTTTCTCTTACTGGATAGAATAATAGGAAGAGCAGCAGTGAGGTCTTACAGATACATGATGAGGAGCGTGCTCATCACCAGCAGAAAGCGGCTCAGGTTGGAGTTGAAGTAAACGATCATGAGCAGGACACCGAGTCTTGCAGCGGAGTACAACCAGTCCAGCCAGTCGCGCTCCATGTCCTCCTCGTCCTCCATCACGGGCCCGCCCTGCGCGTTCATTCGCATGTTCTGATTGGCTTCCCCCGCGTTGATGAAAGCGCCGTCCTGCACCGGGTTCTGATTCACTGGCAGGTTGTCAATGGGGTTCTGATTGGCTAAAGGGGCGGGGACAGGAACCTGGTGCGGAGGAACAGGTGGGTACTGGCCAACGGTCACCATGGTGGTTGGGGGAACAGAGCCGGCTGCTGCCATTGCTGCATGGCTGTTGGTGGGAAATAAGAATTAATGACTAAGAATGGACAAAAATGAAGGAAAAATGAGAGGATTAACAACAACACTTACTACTGCATGTAATACTGTCTTGCATAGACATGCTGGAGCCAGAGGAGCTGCTGAGGGCTGTACAGAGATAAGGCCGGAAAGGCTGGTGGGGTCAGCTGTGATGCTGCAGCCCTGCAGGAAAACAACTCCTTTTAGCTCCAATTGATCTTAAAACACTCAGTTCCCCCCCCATACACCTCGTTTTAAAAATCCCCAGCTTACAGTGTTGAATTAGGCCATGCAGGAGCTCCAGACGGAGACGTGGGCGCCTGGGTTTGGGTGGGAGCAGCGGCTGCTGAAGATGTCTGCCTCCTCTGCCTGAGCTCCGATGTGCCGGGAGTCTGAACAGGTGGGCTTAAACTGGAAGGATGTGGTTGTTCTGTTTCTTTTGTCTGCAGGAAAAAACAAACAGTCTAATGAACTCGTAGCTCAGTAGATTCTAGAAACCGAAACCTTTTTAATCCAATAAGGTTTTGCTCCGAGTCCAGAATAATAAAAGACATCTAGAGCTGGTAATATTACACGTCCTGAAAGCAGACCAGTCACTATGTTGGTAAAATATCAGCAAGATCTGAAAATGAAAAACATTTTACCTCTATTTTAAGTTTTGAAATAAAGAAAAGCAAAAATAGAACGGATACAGTTTTGTATATAGGCTGTTGGCGCTTGTCAAAAATGGTATAAAAAAAATAAAATGTTTTCCCAACCTAATGGGAAATAGATCTAAAATTAATGGAACTAATGTCATTCTGTAGAACTCTAATAAAACGATTTCATGAAAGAAAGTAAACAGCTGCTAAACCCTGCTTTTGTTATTAAATAATTAGTTTGTAAATTATGAAGAGTCACTGCAGAAGGATCAAATAATCCCCCTTCGCTCTGGAGCCGCAGCCTCTTGGTTTAATCAGAATAAAAGATGCACAAACACTTAGAAAAGCTGAGCATTAAGGTAGTGAAACTAGAGCGAGTTAAGTTTAGCTGTAAGATCTTTAAGGATGACGGCTGAAATGAAACCGTTCCACTTCACAGCAGGTCAGTGTGGAGGGAGGAGGCGAAGGAGCACACCTGCTGTCCGCAGCTTTTTATAAGCTTTATCAAGATCAAAACTGGACGTTTCAGCCATTAGTCTGACAACAGACCACATTATTCCTAAAAGCATTTAGAGCATGGAGAAAAAAAAAAGGCCATTAAAAGGTATGAATGAAAAAAAAGTTAAATAAAGTATGTTCTGCAAAAAGGAACCCAACTCTGTGCAAGGGAGATAAATATGCAAATTTAAAATAAGCAAACAACTGCTGACTGGTAATAAATTCAAACCACTTAGAGAAACCAGATAATTTGAAACTGCTGTATAGATGCAGTTCAGCTAGAGGAAAAGGTGACATCAATGAGATGCTAAATGCCAAAGAGCTTAGGCATTTTTGTCAAAAAAATAATGATTATTGTTTAAAATAACCCGATTTTCACCTTTGATTGCATCCAAAACACAGGAAGCATTTTATTGACTAAAACACACTGAACTGTTTAAGGAAAAACAAAACGCTGTCATCCTCTTTCACCGTGTCTTTTAGAGTTAACAGGTTCATTTCCTCCACGGTGCGACAATCAAGGTTATTCTGTTCTATCCAATTTTACATTTTTTTTGTTACCATATTTTTACATTTATTATAAATAATGACCAAAACATAAACAATATACAATAATTAATATACAGAAATACACACAAACTGAAAAGAAAACAAAAACAAAAGGGGAGAGAGGTTTGGTTAATTTTGTCTTATATACCAAAGTTTATATTTGACATTTTTACATAATATATATGTAAAACAAATGGCCTAGATATCAATTGTAGCAATCAGCATTGATTTAGCAGCATTTTATATTTATCTATTTATTTATTTATTCATTAAGTTAGCTGGATCGGGACATATAAAGCATATTTTAATAATCATGATCATTTGAGTCATCTTTTAGCTATAGTTTCAACTTCTAATTCAATTTCAACTTAATGTTTTTATGCGATTACAGTATATATCTGGCTTTTTAAATGTGTTGTTGGAGTTGGGCTTCAACTGAAACCTGTAGGAAATCCATAGTAGCTTGATTGTGCTAACCAGAAACGACCACAAGGGTGCGCTCTCCAGGAGGCCAGATTTTCCTCCTCCTCCTGCATTGCGGTCAAAAAAAGAGTTTTGTTAACATTAGCTGCCCTTGCTATTACCTGTCTATTTTAGTAAGAGACCAGGAAATAATGATAAACGAAGAATGGCTACCTGCTAAGGCTGCATTCACAATAACATGCATACACAATGCACGAATAAATGGAAATTTATGAAAATTGCACGAATAAAAAAAAACAACCTTTATCCTCTTAGGGTTTGCTGTTCCATGCAGCAGATTTATACCGGGGTAAGTCCAGAGAACAACTTTAACCCAACTGACAGTCATTTCAGATTCCACTGAGTCTCCATCTCACTAATATCTGCCTAGGAGGCAGCTGTAAACTCACCCAGATAATAATCCAGGAAACTGTCATCTAAAGACTGTTTTAATTGAATGAATGTTTACCTTTAGTGCCGCTTGGGGTGGATTCTTCACTGAGCAGACCAGGTGTAAAGTAGGAATGGAGTCAATCTGCAAAAAAGGAAAGATGAAAGTTCCTTTAGTGCATATAGACACCCAGAGACGAAAACAACCTTTTTCTGCAACCATTGCAGAAAATTTACATCAAAACAAACTGGGTAAATACAAAAAGCAACTTCTCCTTCAGCCAGGTTGGCTGCAGCATTTACATGTTAATTAAAGTTCATGGTTATTTAACTGAAGACCAGACTAAGAAAAAATAAAAATAAAAAAACCATTTAATCACTCAAAGTATAAAAACTCATTAAAACTAAACCTTTTCCTTCTTTTGCTTTAAGTCTGTGAAAAAAATAGAAATAAATGATTATATAACATTTCAGTAAACAAAGAAACTAAGTAAGAAGCTAAAGACCTTTAGACTTCTGCACTCTCATCATATTTGCTTATCAAATGTCATTACACGCTGGATCTCCAGAATAATCTCCTGCTGTGTGACGTTTGGTTGGTTTTAGCCTGCAGTGTTTGCATGGAGCTTTGGGCGTCGCCTGTCTGCTCTGAACACAGACCTGAAAATTCTTTGGTTAAAGCAGAGTTACCTCCGCAAAGCTTATACTAAGAAAGTAGAGGATGGCATGGATACTCTAATCCAGTCTGCACGGTGGCCGACAGGTGCAAACACAAACGAAACGAGTTCCTAAAATATGCGTGAAGCAACCTACTAAATATCCAAACACATAAATCATATTTAACAGAAGAACCCTGCAAATGAAATTGGCTGAAAGCAAAACTAAATGCTGCAATCACCAAATTAAATTATGTAAATTGTAAAGACAGTGAACTTGCTCCACAGATCAGAAATCCTCCAGATCAATAGAGGGAGTGGAACAAAGAAACTAACCAGTGTTATTTATTTATATAGAACACATTGAAGTCTATGATTACAGCATCTGAAACAGATTTATTTTCCAGCCTTAAAGCAAAGTTTGTGTATTTTGTTTTTTTTTAAAGCGAAAATGTCTTAAATGTTGCATCGGAGGAGTTTTATCAACATGGCAAAATAACGTTCAGGATTCGGTTGTTAGCCTTCTTGGCCATGTTTCTCGGGCGTTGGCCATATTATCCACTTCTAATACTGGTTTAGAAAAAGTGACCCAAAACAACTAAACCAAAAAACACAAGAAACTGACCTTTCCCTAATAGGTTTACTTAAACATGTGTGTCGATTTACAGCATTCACAACAGACTGTCAAGAGTTAAAAGATAAAAATCAGGAGTGGAATATCAACCTATTCTAAATGCATAAAGAAGAGAACCTGATCTCAAGCTGAGGAAATCCTTTGGAGGCAGTTAAATATCAAAATAACAACTTAAGAGAAGTTGGGATGTTTCCTGTATCTGGCATGAATGAGTTCAAAATGATTTAGGACTTTAGTTTAATGGTATTTCAGGGTTATAGTAGATGCTAAAAAAGAACCATACCTGTCTGAAAAGATCTTTGATGTGCAGATGATTGGGCAGCAGTTTGCCAGCGAAGATCAATCTCTGATCACTTATAGCCTAAGGAAAAAATTTAAATTATAGGCATTTAAACATTTGGTACTTTGACAGATGTTGTATCCATGGTGACATCAGTTCGGTGATATCTAGCCTTTTGGAAAACTAGAGAAGTTTTTTTTTTTTTTTAACCATCATTTTCAATGATTGGTGTCCTAGAATTAAACAACCTTTTAAATAAATTAATCAATAGATTTAAACCACACTAAAAACAAAACAAAAACCATTCCAGATATTTCTAATAGGGCAGAAACAACTAATTCGATTAATCTTAATTAATCGATTACTGAAATAATCGTCAACCAATTTAGTAATCGATTAATTGTTGGCTGTTAAACATGCCTTTAGCGGACAGAGAAACCCACTTAGAGCAGTAATTATATCAAAATTGTAAAAAAAATATGTAATCATTTTGCAATCAGATCCAGAAATCCTCGATTAGAAACCAGCTTTAATTTCATAAAAAAATCTTCAAGGAACCATTGGCTATCTGATTATTGTTCAATTAATCCAAAATATTAACAACAGTTTAAACGATTTGTGAAATAATCATTAGTTGCAGCCCAAATGTCTACAAACTCCTTCTTTATCATTGAAGAAATTATTTTAGAAGAATGAAACAGCATCTTGATGTCACACGTATTCAACCTCACTGTCTGGGATCAAAATGTGGATCGAAGCAGAATACTGACAACTGAACTGATCTAAAGGTGAGATTGCTTTGTTAAATTTCCTCTCATTATCAGCATGTTACGGATAACATGTGCTACCGATGAACCATGTGTTCCTTTATCTTAATAGAACCAGCTGAAAACACATGGCTCATTTCCCATGCTTATTGAATAATCATTAACTTTAACATGAAAACTTCAGCTTTTCTCTTAAACGGTTTAGCAGGTTCATATCTGAAACTCATCTCACCTTCTAACGGCTCCACCTAATCTCACTGAAGCATAGATCCTCTTTCTGCAATCGACTCCAGTTTGGGGAAATGCTGAGGCCCTTCAGGCGCTACTTTGTCCTTCTCAACCACAAATAAATCTTTGAATTATGGCCCACCTATAAAATAAAGACAGCTCCATTTCTAATCATCCAGCAGCTGCTATGTGTTTGGTTTAGGGTAGCTCTCTGTGTACTTGGCCATTTATCTGACTAATTATTACTAAATTAAAGTTGGGAAACTGTTAATTAGTTTAAGCTAAACTTGGGTAGTAAGGTTGACGTCATACATTTGCTTGAGTCATTTTTTTCTTAAAATAAGTGCATTTGTTCTTGAATTGAGGAGTTAAAGGAGACATTTTGCTAATGGAACAAGACAATTTACATTTAAAATAAGAAAAAACAATTGCATTGTCTTATTTCAAGTTCATTTTATCTAAATATCTTGTTTTAAGAGTAAGAATACTCAACTCGTTGGCATATCATCTTATTTACCTACTCAAATTAAGGATAAATACACTTAATATGAGACATTTTGACTTATTTCTAGATCATTTTTCCAGTTTTGGAGAAAGTACCCTGTGTAGCTTTACGGCACCATATATTTACTTTTACCCGTGTAATATTATTTTATGTATCACTACTCTGACCACATTGAGGACTACATGAATAAAAGGACTCCATTAATAAAAAAGAAAACAAATGCAGTACACACATAGATATGATATTACTGTATTATTAATTAACTTAAAAGTATTTCAAAATATCTTTATCATTTCTAATTAAACTATTGTTGGAATTTTCTTTAAAACAGCAGATTTAGCCAATTACTTGTAAAACTTTGTGAGTGGCTCAGTTTTTGGACATTAAAACAGATGCTATAACCCTTCATTTCAGTAAAAGTGTGAAGCAATACGTATAATTACTTCACTGTATTTTTTTGTTATGAAAATAACAACACTCATTCAATATTTCAGTATTTTTAATTATATTTATTTAATTTATCATTTTAATCATTAAATTGGATAAATAAATATTTAATGTGACATTTTTTGATAATATGGCATTTGAATTATTCATTTGAGAAATGTTACATCTACTTATCTCATAGTACATTTTCTTATATCATGGGAGTCACACATATGCATTTCATCACATATTTTTACCCTCCCTATAACTCAGGGATTACATCCCAATGAGTGTTAAAAACCTATCTTGTGTCCAGTGAGCCTAACTCCCTGATATTATCGTTCAAGTACTCAGGGAGGCCTTTAAAAAAAAAAAAAAAACATATAATATAATATTAAATTAGTAATGGATGGTTAGATTGTGTTTATACTTGTGCAAACATATTTTTTGGGTAATTTAACCACATCAAGATACAGTCTCTATTCTGTTCATCAGAAACCAGTTTTTATTTACCATTACTATTTTCAAGAATTTCCTATGTTAAAGTAAACACATCCCAGAATTAAACTTCCCAGCTTTTTCCACTCCTCTTATCAACTTAAAATGGATTCATTGAAAAACCTGTAATTCAAATAGCATGTTTTTAAATCAACCTAACATATATATGTCTATGGACCAATTACAGCTTACAGGTGGTAGTGGTCAAATGGGTCCTGAAGGAAACTCTTATAAAATAACAGTTCCGCGTCCAGATCAATATTAAACTTCCGTACGGTGTGTATTCGCGTGCCGAACCGTGACGGTTCGGTAGGACTACATATAGCATGCCGGGGCCCTAATATATATATATATATTTTTTTGTTCTGAAATAAAGCGCCATTGCTGAACGTTAGACGAACATATATAATTCATGTAAAATGTCGTTAGAACGCGCTGAACAGTGACATTTTGGGTTATAGAACATTTAAAAAGGACTACATTTAGGAGATAAACACAAACAATTTCTAAGGCTTCTTCTAAAATCCGTCCAAGGTATCAATGTAGAAAACACACCCAGCAGGCAGGCGGATATGGAGGAAATGGCTAACAGCTGGTTTCTCTCTGTGACATTCCATAACATAGCAGCTAGCTAACATTTAGCCGCTTGGCTTCAACAACAGCTTTTAGACTCACCGGTTTGCTTGGGTAAACCCTGGATAAATGAGCCTTAAGGTCTCCAATGGTCCACTTCATATCGACCCCTTCAATGATTTGATCCTCCTGAGCCTGGTTCGGCGTTTTTACGACGAGACTTATCGTCTTTTGTTGAATATCTCCGGAATCCATTTCCACTTTTCGGTCACTTGCTGCGGCTTTGATAGCGTTCAGTACAACAGAACCGGTAGAGCGCGAGTCGATTCGCCGAAAGAAAGGCTGGGAAAGCGGCAAAACCTTTTAGAACGGAGGAACTTTACGGGCCGAGTAGCGTCTAGAACTGTCTGTGTGCGGCCCGTCATACGGGACTTTACAGGAACAAGGTTGTTTCCAAAACACACTGTGGCTGCTGCTGATTGGCTACATACTCCTCGCGCTCAGACGTGGAGGCTCGTAGAATGTTGGCGATTGGCGCATGCGCACAAATCGGGAGTTTGTTTCAGAGATCGTTTATTTGACAACTTTCACAAAAACAGCTCGCATTGGTCCTTAGGGTTACTCGAAATGTACCACTCTTTTACTACAAATTCTACATCTTTTATAACAAAGACCCACCCTAAATATTTCAATCACTCAGCAATACCAAGACAATTTAATGGATTTTTCATTTCAGCGTCTCTTTACTCCTTTATTTTTGGAAAGTAATCAAAGTGGGTCCTCGCTTCCTAGCTCTCTATGATCCAGGAAGTAAGTTTTTTTAGAAACTATTATTGTTTACTCAGTCAAATTACATCAGCCATGTTACATCAGCTGTAAACTCTCTGCAGGAGTTTTCCAGAATAGTTAAATCTCAATACTATCCAATTGCATCAAAAAGTAAATTTATATCAATCATTAATTTAAAAAAGCTAAATCTGGCTCCATAGATGAATTAATATGCTATCAGATACAGGAAATAAAAAATGTGATGGAAATTTGGAAAAGCAATAGTCATTATGACATCCTTGAAAGGATTTTATAAAAAAGCTAATTCAACAATTATGGAGGGAATTAGTTTTAAAATGGGTCCTTATTTTCAGTTTATGAGCACTAAATGCTGACCATATGACAATATAAATACATTCCAGAAATGTATGCTGTCCATATGAACTTTAAATGTTGAAGTGGATTTCGAATAGCATAAAAGCATTACAATATAACCTTCAAAGGATTTATGAATGTGACGTAACCAAACCTTCATAACTTTTTTGGCAAATGGCTTTTTGCATGTGATGGACCTGTGACCTGTCCTGGATGTACCCCAGATTAAGATGTAATAGATGGATGGATAAATGGAAAGTCTTTTGCTTCAGTGCCTTTAACACAAGCTAAAGAGCAATAACTGAATCACTATATACATAGAAGGAAGATGCATATGAGATTAATTAAATTATAATCTAGAAGTTCAGCTGTGATCTGCCATCCCTCTCATGATGCATTGATCTGCTATGTGCAATGTGCTCTCAAGTCTGCCGTTTGCACTATAATCCCTTCAGCGCTCTCCAGAGGCAGTTCTAGACCCAATCTACCAGTAGAGCCTGGCTGAGGACTGTTGTATAGGGGCACAGAACAAATTATTGACATGAAGAAACAGGTCAATATCTCACCATTTAAAGCAGCAATTTCCAAACTTTTCTCAGTAACTGACAGAGTTGTCAAGTAATGAAGTACAAATACTTTGTTGCTGTACTTAAGTAAACTATTTAGGTATCTATACTTTACTCCATTACTTATTTTACTTCCTACTTCTGACTTCTAATCATTACATTTTCACACAAGTATCTTTACTTTCTATTCCTTACATTTTTAAAAGAATCGTTACTCGTTACTCTTGGCTTCGGTTTTATGTTTATTCATATTTATTTCCCGTCATGTGCTCCATCCAATGCAGATCATTGGCTCCATCTACATCTAGTGAAAACTAGTGTGATTGGATGAGTCATAGAACGCAAACACTCATTGGTTAGCTAAACGAAATCATCAGAAGCAAGCAGGTGTTCTTCAAACTGCTAACGTGAATTGTCTATGCCATGCTACAATGTGGGATTCAGAAAAAGATGTTGAAACGTCTGAAAGGTCGGACACAGCGAGAACATATCAGGAGATGGAGATGGAGACCAACAAGACCTCCCTTATCCTTGGCCCTATCTTAAAGTATTTTTTGAAATAGTCAACAAATTGAGATTTTAATTCATATAGTGGCATCCTATACTTTTATACTTTAAGTAGTTTTTGGAGCACATACTTTTTCACTTTTACTTGAGTAAAGAGGTCAAGTTGATACTTCAACTTTTACCAGAGTGTTTTTAAAATGCAGTATCTATACTTCTACTTAAGTAAAAAATTGACACCACTGGTAACTGAAACCTGTAATTATTTCAAGTTTAA